CCCTGAGGAATGTGGAGTAGAAGCAGATTTAGGCAGGAGTATTCAGAAACACCCCCCGGACTGTGGTAGGTAAGTGGGGTCATCAGTCCCTGAGATGGTTGCTTCTAAAAGCAGGAGGAAGAGACTAGATTTCCCTGGAGGCTGCTCTTTGTTCCCAGGCGGGGAGGACTATTCTCCAAGGAAGACCAGAAAGGCCGAGAGTGGCTCAGGAGCCCAGGAGGACGCCGAGGGCCCCTCTTGTGCCCAGCAGTGTGGGCAGGGCTTTGGCACAGGAGCAGAAGTTCAGAAGCCCCTCCTGGGGGCCGGCCCCCCGACATTCCCGTCTCAGGGCCTGCCTTGGGCCTGGCCGTAGGGTGTCCTCAGACAGCGGCATCTGTTGACTGGGTCCCACATGAGTTCTTGTAGGACAGCCATATGCTCGCCAGGCAGAGGAAGGTGGCCACAAAACCGAAGATCGCTCCAGCTACCAGTCCACTCTGGCTGTAACTCTTGGAGGCTGCCACAATGGAGGCGATTAGGAGGAGCAGGGTACCGATTAAATAGTGCAGAAGTTCCAGGGTCCAGTTTCATCCTCTTGCAAGTGACTGTCCAGTTTTCAAACACCATTTATTTTTTTTTTTTAATTTTTTTTTTTCAACGTTTATTTATTTTGGGGACAGAGAGAGACAGAGCATGAACGGGGGAGGGGCAGAGAGAGAGGGAGACACAGAATCGGAAACAGGCTCCAGGCTCCGAGCCATCAGCCCAGAGCCTGACGCGGGGCTCGAACTCACGGACCGCGAGATCGTGACCTGGCTGAAGTCGGACGCTTAACCGACTGCGCCACCCAGGCGCCCCAAACACCATTTATTGAAGTGATTATACTTTCCCAAGTGTATATTCTTGGCTTTTTTGTTGTAAATAATTGTAGATGCATAGGGTTATTTTGGAGCTTTATATTCTGTTCCATGTATGTGTCCCTTTGCCCATTTTCAAAATCAGATTGTTCTCTTGCTAGCAAGGTGCTTCAGTTCCTTATATATTTTGAATATTAACCCCTATCAGATGTACTATTTGCAGGTATTTTCTCCCATTCCAAGATTGCCTCTTCACCCTATTGATTGTTTTCTTTGCTGTATGGAAACTTTTTAGTTTGTCTATTTTTGCTTTTGTTGTTTTTTGGATGTTAATTAGATATATGAAATAATACGAAATTATAAACAGTCTTATAATTTCACTTTTTTGACATCCTATAATTCAACTTTATATATGAAATTTTAAAGCAGTTCAGAAACTAAGTTTTGTGTATTTAACCAACAAGAAAACTAAACTACAGTAATTTTTGTTTTAAGGTTTTCCACAATAAAAGCAAATTTGTTCCACAATTCAAAGGTAACTCAATCATCCATGAAACTGAATACAGAAGAAATTTCAAGGGTTTATCTCCAGTGAAAGAACCAAAATTAAGAAATGATTTGAAAGAGAATGGAAATTTTGAAACAGTATCTCCTGAAAAGAAGGTATTCGTCAACTCTTTACTTTAAACAAAATAAAAGGCTTATGATTTTAGACTCTACTCATTATCTTTTACTGAATACCACCTGAGAATTTGGGTTTTAGGTAGTTTATTCATTTGTCTATTAAGTGCCACATGTTCACTAAGCACTTAGTGGGGGCCAGGCATTGGGTAAGTACTGAAAATACAACGATGACCACACTAAACCCCACACAGGAGACAGAGTTGTAACTAAATAAATGTAATATGTGACAAGTGCTTAGCAACATAGAAGGTAAGTCTGCTATGTCTAATAGCAAATGATTAGCCTTACAGTGATGTGAGCTATAGGAGTAACAGTAGCGATAGAAACACACACTTTAAATAATGGGAGTCAGACAGAAACATGCATACTTACATGTATTTTGTTTGTTTTATTTAAAGTTTATTTATTTATTTTGAGAGAGAGAAATAGAGAGTGAGGAGTGAGCGGGGGAGAAGCAGAGAGAACGGGAGAGAGGATCCAAAGTAAGATCCAGGCTCTGAGCTGTCAGCACAGAGCCTAATATGGGGCTTGAAGTCATGAACTGTGAGCTCATAACCCGAGCTAAAGTCGGACCAGGCACCCCTGGTCCGACCAACTGAGCCACCCAGGCACCCCTAGATACATGTATTTTAAACCAAAGCTTTAGCATGCCAAATTACAGCCAGCCTAAATTGGATACTGTATTACAATTCTGTTTGTGGAAGTAAGTTTTAACTGCTAAAGATAACCTGGAAATCACAAGCAATCAATAAACAAGTTTTGAAACTACTAGATCCGGTTGGGTTTTTCAAGTATAGCTCAGGTTTTGTTCATTTATAACAATAAAATTTATATCCTTGGCTACAAAAAATTTTTCTAATTAACAAATAAACATGTAAATGAATAAACTTGACGTTACCACCTATTAAACAATGTTTTTACATTTGCCTTTGATATTCTAAATCCACATTTTATTGCGTTGCAGTAATTAAATATAAGGTTCCAATGAGTAAGTTACCAACCACATTGTTTTACTGAATAACTTAACCCTTTTTTTTTAAATGTTTGTGTATTATTTATTTTGAGAGGGAGAGTGGGCGTGGGAGTAGCAGAGAGAGAGAGAGAGAGAGAGAGAATCACAAGCAAGCTCCACACACGTGCAGAGCCCGATGTGGGACTTGAACGTGATAAACTGCGAGATCATAACCTGCGAGCTAAAATCAAGAGTCAGATACCCAAGTGACTGACCCACCCATGCACCCCATAATCAGCACATACAAACACTTGCCTCTATTTGAACTATAGCTATTTAAGTTACAGATTCAGGTTAAAATGATTGTAAATTATAGGTAAATGGGATAGAAGTCCTATTTTTAAATCTTCTGGAATGCTATAACTAATACCTTGTGGGTTCTAAACATAGAAATTCTATGACTAAAAGTAAATTGGTTTATACATATATTTGTTTCCATACACACACATATATACATATTTTTGGATCTACCATAATGGGGAGATTATGGGGTGCATGGGTGGGTCAGTCACTTGAGTATCTGACTCTTGATTTTAGCTCGCAGGTTATGATCTCACAGTTTATCGCGTTCAAGTCCCACATCGGGCTCTGCACTTGTGTGGAGCTTGCTTGGGATTCTCTCTCTCTCTCTCTCTCTCTCTCTCT